TGAGCCACAGCACCACTTAAGACTTTTTTGGTGTTAAGAGTCTCATGGACTTTCCTGTCTGAGCTGGCTTCAAACTGCAATCCTCAGATCTCCGCCTCCTGAGTAGCTAAGATTACATTGTGTACCACCAGTGTCTGGCATATGTTTTCTACTGTTGGTCTAAGAGTCGCTCTCAGACTTGACTGGAGTTGGCTGATACATATAAGACTGTAGCTTTCTATGTTTGACAAGTCACAATGTGCTAGAAGAGCATTTCCTGAACTGGTATTCCACAAAAAACTGTTCTACAATACTTTTAAAATGGCCTCTGATTTAATCTCAACCCAGAAAAACAGACAGATAACCTTGAATAATATTTAAATAGGCCGAGAGTACCAGGGCAAAATGACCTCTTCTTTCAACTTACTACAGTGACTAAAAACCTACCTTGGTACCCTTTTTGATTGTTTTGACTCTTTTCTTTTTGTTTGTTGGTCCTATGGTTTGAACTCTGGGCCTGGGTTCTGTCTCTGAGCTAGTGCCTAGTGCTCTACCACTTGAGCCACAATACCTTTCACCTTCTTTGAGTAGTTTATTGGGATAAAAGCCTCATGGACTTTTCTGTCCAGGCTGGCTTTGAACCATAACCCTCAGATCTCAGCCTCCTGAGTAACTATGATTATAGGTGTGTGACTCTTGATTTTTAGTTCAAGAGTACATGCAGTCAAATGTAAAAGATCACTTGTGGGCTGGGATGTGGCTTAGTAGCTTGCAAAAGGCAGAAGTGGCACTGTGGCTCAAGTGGTAGAGTACTAGCCTTTAGCAAAAGATGGTCAAGGACAATGCCTAGGCCCTGAGTTCAAACCCCATAACTTATATGCATTCTTATATGCATTCCAAGCCCCTGCTCCCCACTTTTATGTATTACATCCTAAGAGTTCAGAGCTAAAATTCTGTTTACAATGGAGTTTGCTGCTAAAAAATGACAAATACTGTTGCTCTTAAAAGACGATCATTTCTATGAGACTCAAATAGTAGAACTGAAAAAAATCTGGCTCTGAATCTTATTTCTAGCATCTTCTACCTTGTAGCCAGAGTTAAGTATCCTCTGCAAAAAAATGGGAAAAAGGAAAATAACGTCTTTGCTTAAGTTCAAATCCTGGTCCCAGTCATGTGCCTCTAGACAATTTACATCTGTATGCCTATTTCCTTACCTGAAAAACAGATAGTAATAGGACCAATTCTAATGTTTTGAGGAGTTAATATCTGGGACTGGGAATGTGGCTTAGTGGTAGTGCTTGCCTAGCATGCATGAAACTCTGGGTTCGATTGCTCAGTACCACATAAACAGAAATACCACATAAACAGTACCACATAAACGGAAATGACACTGTGGGTCAAGTGGTAGAATGCTAGTCTTGACCACACAGAGGCTAGGGAACAGCGCCCAGGCCGAGTTCAAACCCAGGACTGGCAGAAAAATCAAAATAAAATAAATAAAGTTAATATTTATGAAGCCCTTGGAATAGTACCAGTGCATAACCAATTGTTAAAATAATTTATTAGATAATCATTATGGTTCAAAGTCTAAAGGAAAGGCATACCTCATTCAAAAATGTATTGAGGTAACAGTATTAGAGCAATGTTAAACTTCCTGGGTGTGGTAATGTTATTGTGGTTAAAGAAAAGAATGTCCTTGCTCCTGGGAGATACATTCTGAAGTACATGGGGGTGAAGTGCCAGGATGTCTGTGATTTAATCTCAAAAGATTTAAAAAGTATATATAAATAGAAAGAGATAAAACAAATGTGGCTTTAACATTAACCATTTAGTGAATCTAAGGACAGATGAGTGTTCACTGTTTTTAACCCAATTTTCCTGTAGGTTTGAATTTCTCCAAAATGAAAATAAATAATGAGGTGAGGATAGGTGGACAATGAGAGTATAGATGGAAGAGATCTCAAGCCCATATCTGTCCACCTGTTGATAAGTAACCACTTTCACTAGTTATCTTTTTATGCTAACACAATTAAATATTTAAATATACCTTAATATTGTCATAGGATGTTTTTAGTGATAAAAATGGTATACTGTATATAAAGTACTGTTGTTGTTTTTGCCAGTCCTGAGCTTGAACTCAGGGTCTGGACACTGCCCCTGAGCCTCTCTGTGCTCAAGGCTAGCACTCTATCACTTGAGCCATAGTGACACTTCCAGCTTTTGCTGTTCATGTGGGACTGAGGAATTGTGTTCTACCACTAAGCCACATTCCCAGCCTATGTTTTTTGTTGTTGTTGTTGTTTATTTGAGACAGGCTTCCATTATGTAGACCAGGCTGGACCTAAACACTCAATCCTCCTACCTTTGTTCTCAAGAACTGGGATTATGGATTTACAGGTATGTGCCACCTTACATGATTTATACAAGTTATTTCAACATTATTTACATGATAATTGCTATACCCTAAACTGTTAACAGTAAGACTAAGGGAAAGGAAAAAAAATACGAATGTTTACCCTGTTACTCAATAAACTTTTGCATTACTTGACTATATTACAATGAGTAAATATCCTTTTTTTTCTTTTTTTGAAAGACACCAAAATAGCCCCATTCTATCAACCTTCCTATAGAGAGGATGTCTTTGGCTTTGAGATCTAAATTATATAGACTACTTTCTGGAGTGAAATGTTCAAATTTCACATTTGCATTAAAGCAAATACATACTGCCTCTCCTGTTAAACACTAAATTCCCCCATAATCTTTTTGTGTGCCTTTAGGATTTGCACATTATTTATTGAATTAGTAAATGAATACCAGTTTAGAGGAAGAATTTGTATGATATATAAAGTAAGAGTCACAGTCACTATTCAGTCAGAAATTGTCTCAACAGATCATTTACACTTTACCATAGTAGAAAGGATAGGATGAGACAACTCACCCAACCACTCAGCAAAAGTACCTTGACTAAGTACATGTTTAATAAATTTTATACTCTTTTGTCATCATAAAAGCTAAGCACAGCCTCTGTGGCTAAAATTCACCGTAAGTAAGTAACTCTGGTTCTTTGGAATTACTTGTACCTAAGATGTGAGTAACCAATATATACTTTTGAGAAAGAAAGGTATACTCTTTTTGTTTTCCCTGTAACGTTTTTTTTTTACGTGATTATTGTACCTCAGGCTTTAAGAATGAGAGGCGCATACTCTTCTGAGCTATATCCCAGACACTCATTGTGACTTTTGGGTTGATTCAATTGGTAGAACAGGTGTGTGTCAAAACCACTACTTAGGTCTCCAGACCACAGCCTTCAGAGTCCTTGCCCTGGAAAACCACACTACTCCCAGGAGCTGATAAGATACCCCATTTCAGGTTGTTGAGGTAGCTGGACTTTAAGAGTTTTCAACCAACAGAAAATGGATCAAATAAGAATCAGACCAATATAGTATGTGGGATGAGGGGTATGAGTCTCAATACATTCTTTAAAGGTGTTGGTCTTGATTCCTATCCATTACCTATGTAAAAAGTCTTAATTCCTAAACGTACACAGGGAAAGGGTCAATAGTGAGAAATAGAGGAAACAAGATTCCAGTGGCCAGACAGGTCTGATTTCCTAATGCCGCTCCCTCAGGCACAAGGAAAGAAAACAGGTTGTAATTAGAGAGATGCATTCCAATACCACTTTTTTTTTTTTAAATGCATGCCCCAGGGACAGGAGGGAGTGGTTACAAAAGGAGAGATGGAACTGTAATGATAGCAGAGTCAAGCTGAAACTGCCCTAACTTGTTGAGTGTAGTAATTACATATCTGCAGTATATCTTAGCATTATATTCTCTCAGCTACACCCCCGTTCTAATTTTGCAGTTTCTTCCAAGTTTTCTGAGAAGTTGTATTTACTTCAGAATCATGATCTTTTTTTTTTTTTTGTCTTAACAAGCCCTCAAAGACAGAGTAAGGATGAACTGGTCAAAAATAACTAAATACAATCTATTTTTTTGAGGCAAGGGTAGGGATAATTTTCATCTTCAATGCCCCTCCCCTAAACAACCATACACACTAACAATACTGCCTTCTCGACCAAGAGAGGCAGTCCTGGGGAGAATGTATATTATATGTATGTGACATTGTCCAAAAAGAAATGTACTCGGGCTGGGAAGGTGGCTCAGTGGTAGAGCGCTTGCCTTGCATGCATGAGGCCCTAGGTTCGATTCCTTAGCACCACATAAGCAAAAAGAAAAAAGCTGGAAGTGGCTCTATGGCTCAAGTGGTAGAGCGCTAGCCTTGAGCTGAAGAGCTGAGGGACAGCGCCCAGGCCTAGAGTTCAGGCCCCACGACTGGACCCCCCAAAAAAGAGAAAAAACAACAAAAAGAAATGTACTCTTCACCTAACTTATGTAACTGTAACCCCTCCATACACCACCTTTATAATAACAATAACAAATTAATTTTAAAAAAGAGGCAGTCCTGGGGAAAACATATATTATCTGTATGCATGGAAATGGCACAATGAACCTCCCCCTTAAACATCTAATTAAAAAACAGAAAGAAGACCTAAAGCTTCTATGAGCTGGGATGGAAAGCTGTAACCCAGTGAGCTAGAGGGGAAGCCCTGCTACATTTACAGCACATAAGGCTAAGTAACCCCAGTGCCTAGTTCTCTTAAGTTGCTGGTACAGATCAAAGACACTGCCTTTCACTGCAAACATGTGAACCTCCAGTTCTCTGATGAAGGATGCTGTGGTTTTGATGAGATTCACTTGATAAAGAAGAGCCTGATAGTTTCATAGAAAATCGGAAGTGTTTGCACTGAGTCCTGAGCTAAAAAAATCAACACAACCCTATGGAACCCCATTTCTAAACAGGACAGTGTAGGAGATTGCAAATAATATGGAGGGGAAAAAAGTTCCAAATGAACAAATCCACCTAGGTATCACAAATTCTATTACTTAAAAGAATACTGATTAATCTACCACAAGTGCTTTTAAAATTCCCTTAAACATGCCAAGTCTTAAGAGTTTGGTTTTTAAAGTTCTCTTTTTAATTCAAAATACATTCTCAAAGGATTTGCATCTTACCACTTGACCGAATGTTGATGAATGGATAGTTGGGCATCACCAGCTTATTGAAGTTAAATTTATAAGTAAATCTTTTCCCTTTTGTTTTATGAAGAATCCTCTTGTTGTAATAGTATCTGTAAAATTGGAACACACTCAGTTTATCTTCTAGCCATTGACAGCTTCTAATAAACTTAAGTAATCACTAAGACCAATAATTCTGGCTCTCAATATAACTAGCAAGCCTCCTTATTGTTCCTCTGTGGCCTGGTCCTCAGATTACAGCTAGGACAATGAAAAAGAACTTACTGTTGTCATTCAATTTTCAGCTAAACTATCTGGTGAGAGCTTTTCAAAGTATCCTTTCTTTAAAGACCCAGTCACCTACCTTAACTCTACTTTTGTCCATCCCTATAACCTCAATTCTACAGTTCACTTCCTTCTTATTGTACTGCAAGTTGCGATGTATTTTATGCTAACTGTGTAGTTTAGTTTCTTTCTGTCTTGTCTAGTGGGGGTCAGGCAAGTCTTTTGGGAGACCTGATGTGGTTAGTCTGGAGATATAAGTGCAAGGTACAAAGGAACATAGAATCATTTATGATAGCCAGTGAGATATCTAAACAGTTGTCTTGGTCTTTTCATCCTTAAACATTCAAAAGGGATGTAGGATGTGGGACATTAGTACAAAGTTACTGCACAGATTTTAAACTCAAGGGACTAAGAATGAAGAAAGCAGGGAATGCCAATATACCTGGATCCCTAGCATGGCTTCTATTAAACAGTACAGGTCATAAACTACCTCTGGTCTCTTGAGGGGCAGAGTCATGAAATTTAAAAACTGACCAAGGGAAAAGAATAGCTGAGAGAATTTATAGTGATTGTTCTTTACCCCATAAATATGGGGTAACCAGTGGACTGACAACTGAGCCTAAATATAGAGTATCTGGGTAGATAGCTATGTGAACAAGCCTTCCTGTGCTAGCTTCCCTCCTTCCTAACCTCTTTTGGGTGAGCCCAGTAAGAGAAATTCCAATAAACTCCCTATAAGGAAATCTCAGCTAATCCTCCGGATTAAAAAGGAGCTCCAATCCATGTCTCACCATACACGCTCGCCCACTACAGGAGCAAGATGGGCTGTCTATCAGGATCCAGTGCCAGCTACACTGGAATTCCCTCCTACATATAACCAAAGATATGCCTTTTCTCCTCCTGTGCCTGCACTACTTGGATTCAACACCTCTTCCACTCCCACTCTAAAGCTACACATTATTCACTATAATTTTGTAATTGCTTATTACCTGATACTCTTTTTATCTAAGATTCACCAAACTGCGTGGTCCTCTTTTCCAATCTGTTAACATCACAATTCTGGGAAACCTTTCTCTCACCTGAGGGCCCGGCTCAGCTTGTCATAATTCATCTGTGGTTTACATTTCCTGCGGCCCCAGAGTCGGGCCACCTCATCTGGATCCTTAATGACAAATTCTCCATATTCTCCCTGCTGCCAGGCAATGACATGGCGAAACTCTTCCTTCTGCAGCAGCTCTAAGATGAAGTGCCACAGCTGGATCTGCCGGGAGCCTGGGGATGACTCTGTTTTGTAGGCCCAGTCTGGAAACTGATACCCTTTAATGTGAAAAGGGTGAGATCAAAGAAGTCACGAGCTAGGTACACATACCAGAACCCCCAACTCCACATTCCACTGCTCAGAATTTCGAGAGTGCTTTGCAAACATGCCATAAACACCCAGGCAGCTGGGGCTAACCAGGGCTAACAGGAGAGTAAAGGTCGGAGAAAATACCCATCCTTGTGATAATCACTGAATCTAAGTTGGGCAGTTAACGTTCAAGTTACCCTTTTATATTTACAAATCCCACACATACTTTCTATGAGGGCATCAAAGTTACAAAAGGACCAAACAAGATAAACTATATTTTCCAAAAAATACAGCTGAATCCTATCTTTATCCTATCTTGCCCTCCTCAAGCTGAATGTTATGTCTTCAAACAGGGAAGAGACTAAAACTAGGGATACAGGTGTATTTAGCAGACACGTTCAGTACACATCCATAAGATGCAAGCTGTCAATCATGGTCTAACTTTCTTGAGCTGAGCCCAAGTAGAGAGAACAGGAACCACTAAGGGACATTCCAGGTACATCAGAGTCATTAACTTCTGCTCACCTCCACCTCCTTCTGGCTTTTCCACGATGCTACAGCCTGCTTTCATTTTCACCCTCCTGCTGAGAGACACAAGCCACACAATTACTTTGTGTTACTATGTATTACCCTCCTGAGCTTTTTTCTGGCATAGCCTTTTCCCTTTTCTCAGACTTCCTTTACCCCATTCTTCCTTCCTTATACAAGATTGTCCTTCAAACATGTCACTTCCAAATTGCTAATCCTCAAGTCAGCCAATGATGGTCCTCAGGTCATCAGCCTCAAAAGCCATAATTATCTCTCACCTGACTTTTAAACCACAAAGTGTAAACACTGTCCTTAATATTTGCTTTTTTTCCTCCTGACCAACCCTTCAAATGTTAAAATCAATCAATAAATAAAAGGAAGGATGCAGTGAAATGGGTCCAAAGAGGCAGCAGAAACAAGTCAGTTTGTCTTCTATTACTAGACAAGTCAAGATGCCAAGATACACAAGCCTGAGATCACCCAGATGTACTCCTTTAAAGGGTGAAAAAATACAAATGCATCTCATTCCCACTCCAGAATGAACATCTGATTTTGATTTCTTTTACTAAATTATTTGAGATGGAAGAAATCTCCTCCTACTTAGAAACTGTCCCCTCCCCCTAAAAAAAACACTCCAGGATACCGGAAGTAAATGTACAGACACTTTACAAGAAACACTCTTAATAAAACGGTTTTTGGGAGGATTTTTTTTTTTACATGTAATCCCTTTTATAGGGAAGGAGGAGTGGAGAAAGCAGGCATTTCTGGGGATCTTCTGGCTGAAGAGCATTGTCTTGCTCTGATTTGAATTCATTCCATCCAGATTTATAGTTCCTCAATAAATTTCCTGTTCGCAGCAGCCAGCAGCTCCGTGTCAGTCAGTCCAGCAGTAAAGAGAGTAGGGTGAAACTGCCAGAGGGATCTGGGGGCAGGAGGGCAGATTTACCCTCATTGTTCCCCAGGGTGGATGACAGGCCCTCAGCACCCACAAGAGCAGGTCAGGAGGGAATGTAGATACCTCAGTGGCCCCAGGGGTGGGGTGGGGACAAATTCCTAATCTTGTAAATTTCAACTAATTTAGGATTCCTCTAGACTCTGGATTTTCTTTCTCAACACACACATTAAGGAGACCAGTACATTTCAGTCCATAAAACTACCATCGGCTGAAGATGAGATAAATAAGGAGAACACACACACACACACACACACACACACACACACACACACACACACACACACACACACACACACACACACACACGAGATACAATAACAAGGCACCAGAGGCTGAGGCAGGAGCTTCCTCTGCCATTTCCGTGAGGATGAGGGAGGAAAAACATTAATTTCCCCCACGGCTCCAGGAGGCTGCGAGCCCGGGACGCCCCTAACTCTACACTGCTGGGCCGGATCGCGGGGCCTTTATCCCGTTACAGGGTACCCTTCAACCAGCAGGATCGTGGGGGATCCATATCCTAGTGACGACACTGATCTGGAATCCCTCTCTCGATACTGCAGCTCCGGAGTATAAAGCAGCACAGGAGATCCGAGGTGTCTCTACAGGCTTTTCTTTTTTCTTTTTAAACAAATTCGCCCCGACAACACTCCGCTTACTCGAATTCAGTTCTGCAAACCGTAGCTCCCCGTCCCCTGCCTCCGATCGCGACCATTCCCTCACGAAATGAGACACGGCCAGCTGGGCGCTGTGGACCACGCACGCAGTTCCCAGTGCCGGAGCCTCCGTTCCCCGGGTCTCCCCGCCGGGCCTCCCCGGACCAATGCAGCCCCGGGTCCTGTCGCCCCTCGGACGCCGGCCCCCTCTTTCCTCGCCCGGGGCGAGGCCCGGCAGGAGTGGCACAGCCTGGCTGGTGATCCCAGTCTCAGGGACACCGTCTCCACCGGGGTCCCGGATACCGGCTGGGAAGTGGGGGGGGGCGGCCGCGACGGAGCCAGCTAACTCACCTCAGCCCGGCACGGTCCGTCTTCAGTCCGGTCTCCTCCGCGGCGCCTCCAGCTCCTCCTCATCCACCCCAGCAGGAAGTGACCTCCTCGTCTGCTTTCGTCACTTCCATCCTTACAGCGAGGGCGGGGGAGGAGGCGGCGCCCGCCCTCCCGCCGGCTTCGGGGCCTCGCCGCGCCGCGCCGCGCCCTGCTGCGTCTCCCTTTCCTTTCTCCTTTTCCGCAGACGCCGACTTCCGCCCGCACTCCGCCCCCCTGCGTGCTCCTCACGCCGCCGCGTCCCGCGCCTCCGCCCGGTGCGCCGCCGCGTGCGTCACGCTGCGGGGACACGTGACGCACGCACGCACGCAGTACGTTCGCGGCCAGCCTTCCAGCCGGCGACGCTGACACCCTGGCTGCTGGGGCGAGGGCAGTCGGGGTCTGCCGGGTCCTGCGTAGTGTCGCGGCGGCCGCTGAGGGCCCGGGGCGGGGGTCTGCGGGGCGCTGTGTACCGGCCCCACGTCCCACAGAAGGAGTCCGCGCAGACCTCACAGGGCTAGAGCACCAGGAGAGAGATCCCCGGCTTCCCCAGCCTCCAGACGTGAGCGCCCTGCCGGGGAAGGAGGGCTCTCGGGCCCCCACGCAGCCTCCTGATCTTCTTGATCTTTCTCGCCGCCGAGGGGTCCTTCCGCGCTCGTTTAAAGGAGCCGGGAGCGCTTTGCTCTGCCATTTCCCCCTCCACGTCTTCCTCAACACCCCGCTCTGTCTCCTCACTCAGCACTTAGCTTGTCCTGATCCAAGCATTCAAGTCCTTCTTTCCTTTCCTTTTATTCATGCAGTTCCAAATAGCTTGTTTGAAGCAAAACTTTCTTTAAGGCTTAAAAAAAAAAATGGCACGATACCAAACAGTATATCAAGCATTTCAGTTTTGTGTCCAAAATCAAGTGGGTGTCCAGAGGCAAAGAATGGGGTCACGTAAGGAGATTAGTTAGGATAAAAAGTTAATGTGTGTGTTTACCTAATAGCACCTTTTTTTTTAGTCTTGTCTGCCTGTCCATAAAACACGAAAATACCTCCATTAGTTGTTAAAACAGTTGGCTTCCACTCACTCACTGGTTGGTCCCCTTTTTAGCCTGAAATTGCCTTACTTGTTTAAATAATAATAGTATTGGCAATACAGGTTTTTTCATAATAGGTAATCCTATTATGAAATGAGAAAAAACTAAGTATCAGAGAGGATTACTAGTTTCTGTAAGTATCCCGTGAGTTCTTTGAGTGTAAAAATGGTCTCTCCTCTTTCATGTAAATGTAACATTTGTTTGGACACATTCGGTTGAACAGATCAAAATATCGGGAGGCTAGCTAAAACATGGAGATTACAACTGAGTCCTTATGTCTTCAACACTAGCTTTATTACTTTGTTTCTTTAGTGTCTTGTTTGAAGATAATACTGGTGAAGACTCATGAAGACATCTGTATCTGTCTATAGGTAACTTATTTTATAGTAGGTGCTGTGCATATCTCTTTTCTTGTGTTTTTAAAATTGGTATAAAGGTGATGCACAGAGAGGTTACAGCTACATAAGTCAGGTAATGAGTACATTTCTTTTTGGACAATGTAACCCTTTCCTTCTGTAGGTACCTCTTATTAGTGTTAGAAGTGTTAATATGTGTAGAGTGCTTAAGACAAGAGAATGACACATTGTAAATATAGCAGGTGAATAAACAGTGGCAAAAGTAATTCTAAGAATCATCAGGGCCAGTTACCAATGGCTCACGCCTATACTTCTCTTTATTCCAGATTGAGGTTCAAAGCCAGCTCAGACAGGAAAGTCTATAAGACTCTTATCTCTAATTAACCACCAAAAAATCAGAAGTGGAGGGGCTGGGAATGGGACTTAGTGGTAGAGTGCTTGCCTAGCATGCATGAAACCCTGGGTTCAATTCCTCAGTGCCACATAAACAGAAAAAGCCAGAAATGGTGCTGTAGCTCAAGTGGTAGAGTGCTAATCTTGAGCAAAAGAGCTCAGAACAGTGCCTAGGCCCTGAGTTCAAGCCCCAGGACTGGCAAGAAGTGGAGGTGTGGCTCAAGTGGAAGGGCACCAGCCTTGAGCAGAAAAGGCTAAAAAGAATGTGTAGGCCCTGAGTTCAAGCCCCAGTACCAGGAAGAAAAAATTATCATAAAGATTTTGAACTTTTCATACCATGCAAATTTTAGTGTTAACTCAGAAACCAGAGTGATGGAAACTAAGTAGTTTATTCAGAAACTGCAATTGCCAATCTTTTTGTTCACAGTTCAAATGGTCCTGGTAAGAGCCAGCACTGTTAATCCAAGGATCTCTATGATCTACAGCAAGCTAGGAGCCAGAGTTTAGGGACTCTTTTTGAGTGTAGTTTTTACTAGACTCCTAGAGGTTCTCTGTTGCTGCTTTTTATAGCTAATTAGGGTCACAAAGGATGATTTGAGTAAACACAGCAGAGATAAACAGGTTGGAATTTCAATTGGTATATTGAGAAATGTTTATACCCCAGGACAACTCAACATGGAGTTTTTACACTAAGAATCTAGTCACTAGCCTGAAACTCCACGGGTGAATTTGCAGACTGGTACATCCCTAACAATGTGTCGGTCTGGGTAGATGAGCTGTGTACTGGGATTTGTCCTGTAGGGATGGAGTCTGGGGAGGCTCAGATGGCTGGGGACTTCTTGCCCAACATACCAAGGTCCCTATCCAGCATCTCCTCTACCGCAGCACTGCTGTCTTCTGCATCTGCTGCAAACAGGCTTTCCTAAATTGAAGATGCTTTGTACTCCAGAAGTGGGGAGGACATGTGCCTGCAGAAAGCATGGGGGTGGAAACCCTTAGGCACAACCTAGGAGTCAGGACAGGTTGTAATCTCTCTTGAATTTCCACCTGCTCAGAGCCCTCTTTGTCCACTGCCATTGCCCTCCTACCACTCCCACACTTTATAATTGTTCCATGTATCCAGGATAAGTTTCTGTTTTGAACCACGCACTACTCTCATTGCAGCACTACTATTTTATGTATCTAGGCAAGGTCTTGCTTTGTAGCCCAGAGTGGCCTCAAACTTGTGGTCTTCCGGCCTCAGCCTCCCAAGTGCTGGGAATACAAGCATGTAAAAACAATACCTGACTTTTCTGTTAAGTTTTAAAAAAGAAAAGAGAATCCATGTATCCATGGCCTTTGCTTGTAATCCTAGCTACTCAGGAGGCTGAGATCTGAGGATTGTAGTTGGAAGCCAGCCTGGGCAGGAAAACCTGTGAGACTCCTAATCTCCAGTTAACTGCCAAAAAAGCCAGAAGTGGAGCTATGGCTCAAGTGATGGAGTGCTAACCTTGAGCAAAGAAGCTCAGGAACAGTGCTCAGGTCCTAAGTTCAAGCCCCAGGATCAGCACCTCACATCCCACCCATCCTCCCAAAAAAGAGAACTTCTAAAACTTATTTTTCTTTCAAAAAACCCTTCCTGAATAGCCTATCCCTTCTAAGCTTGAGCTTATAGCCTTGAGATCTCACTTGGCTTTTTCTGCTTAAGGCTGGTGTTCTACCACTTGATCCACATTTCTGCTTTTGGCTTTTTGCTGTTAAGTGGAGATGAGTCTCTTAGATTTGTCTAGTCTCTTAGATTTGACTTCAAGTCTTGATCCTCAGATCTTAGACCCTTGAGTAGCTAGGACAGTTTGTGCTTCTTTACTGCTCTCATTTTCACTTATGTATTTAGGTTCTCCACACCCAGAACCTTTCTGAACACCTGTATAATCTAAGTGCTTTCTAGTCTACTCTTGTAGTGATTAACTGTTCTTATTCTCTCATCTGTATGTCATATGCATATTTATTCTTCCTTGTGTGTTTGTTTTATATCTCAGGCCCTCAGAGGTTAGAGATGGTCCCAACAGTACCCAGAGCAGTTCTTTGCCACCGTTTAAAGTGCATAATGATGGTAATTTCTTTCACTGCTATCCTGTGCTGAGGTGCTGTGCTGAATAGCTTCTTCCCTCTCTGTCAATCTTGTCAAAGTCTCCCAGTAAAAAGAGAGGTAGTCTTTCTCTCCCCCAAAGTTTGTTCCCCATGAAATTTAGATTTGGAAGGCCTGTTTCAGTACCTTCAGTTCTTCACTAACTTCATTCTCTGACAATCCACTAACCTCTGAGTTCCAGCCTCCGCCTATCTACAAAAGGACAGTATTGATGTCCTTGATGAGGACAGAGTGTAATAGTGGCTGTGGAGTGCTTGTAAA